CAATCTGCTTGGGAGCTTGTGATATCTTCTTTACTCATTTGTAGGCTTCTTTTTCTCAGATATGGGCTAGAAAGCCCAAGTTTTTGGAAGTTTCCGTTTGAATAGGATACACAGTGGGATACTTGATATCCTGGCCACATCGTGCAGTAGGAAAGAGTAGGTAGATAGGTAGAGAGCCTTAGTAACAAGAAGATCTAACTATATGCTATTAGGTGGAGACAATCTGATAGACTTCAGAATTGTCTAGGCCAATCAAGATTTATTTTTGTAGATGGAGATTGTCTAGAAAGGCCCCAGTCCACCCACCTCGCTCATGACTACTAAGAGCGAAGCAAATTTGGTAAAGCAAAATAGAATCGTAAAACAATCTTATATTGTTAAGGTCTCTTCTCCATTGCTTGATGATATCTAAAGCTTGGGAGGCACTTCGATATTTATATTCCACATCTGAGTGTTCGCTGACTATATCTATTTATCATACAATAACGTACCTCATTAATTATAACTTACAATGTTGGGTATTCTTAAAAGGTGTGAACCCCTGGAAACCCTGAAAATCACCAAACTCTCTATAGCAATTATGATATAACTAACTCAAAACTATACTATTCCCAATAGTAGTTATCCGATCCTTAGAGTCTTTAGACTTGTGGCCTTGTTCTCAAGTCGAACTCAGTTGCCTCCAATTGTCTCTGTTATTAATGAAATGATCAGTTTCATCTGCGGGTTGCATCTACGAAGGTGGTCGTAATCACAACTTTTTTTCAGGTCGTCTGACTTTCAACCTCCATAACTCCTCACACAACTAATAGATTTCTTCCAGAGGACTTCCTACTAGTTTGCTGAAAGCTATTCCACCAAATTGATAAATATTCCCCCGGTCAGTAACCCTTGGTTGCTCCGGGTAACAGGGTTTCAATCACCGCTATTGTAACCGGTACGGGTACTCGGTTATTGGTTTTGTTTTATGTTTTATGTTTTGTTTTAAGTATCGCTTTGATACTTGGTTTGTTTTAAGTATCATTTGATACTTGGTTTTGTTTTATGTTTTGTTTTAAGTATCGCTTTGATACTTAATTAGTTTCACCAAAGTGTATCAATTGATACCTTTGATTAGTTTCATTCATGCTAGACATGAACAGATTTGTGTATTTAAAGACCGCCTGTTTCTACGATAGAAAAGGCAGACTTCGACAGACAGTATTTCAATATACTTGGTTGAACGGTTACTTCTTTGTTCCTCAGTACACACTCGAAGCCTCTTTTAGTTCTCAGCTCTCGCCTCCTCTCTGGAAGAGCAGGCGACCTGCCAACTATCGTATCTTTACCGATAATGTGACTAGCACCTTGCGAACACGTTACAGCTATAGTATTGGAAATTATCCTCGTAACTACAAGGTATTCAGAAACCTAGTTGCAACACTTCGTGAAGTCCAATGACTTCTATAGTAATATTCCTCAGAGTTCTAGACTCTTTTGGATATCAAAGGGTAGATGTGAATATATTGGTCTCTCATTGAGATTCTTTATTATTTGATACCATCTCCTTGTACAAAAATGTCCCATTACCTACAGCCTATACTGCAGTTATCACATCTTTGAAGCCTAGTAACCTTCTGAGTAGTTGACAGATTTACTCTGTTTCACTTCTCAGATCTTGCCGAAGGTCCCCTCTTATATATCATATGAACAGGTTCTGGACTAATAGACAGCGGTGACATATATAGTGTTATTCTGATACCTTCAATTCTGTGGCATCATAGTTACAGGATGTAACTGAGATTGATATGAATTATGATGTGTGAGCCCCGTCAGAGGGCTGCCGGGTGGTATTGGAAACCAGAGATTCCAATTCCAGGTAAGGCTACCCTACTTAGAATGACTCCTAGGTATCAGATCCTGGTATGCCTAATATAATTTTCCTCTCCTCTATCCTAGCAGTAGGTTTTACACAATCCTTATTCTACTTCTCTTTTGGGTACCTAAATTCTCATTTTCTTCTCTTTTCTCCTCTTTTCTCTCCCTCTCTGAATAGCAATCTCATCTCCCCATATTGACTTCCTCCTCTACATCTCTCTTGTCCAGTGCCTATAAGCTAATACCTATTCCAATCTCTCCTGAGCTAGATCCTAATTCCAGTGAACTCTCTCTTGTGCTAACCACTTTTTAAGTCACCTTTGTGCAAGTCTTCTCCTGACTGTCATAGAAGAAATATTAAGAGCAACCTTTTAGGTAATCTCAAAATAGGTAGTATTGCGATTTTCAAGAGCTTTCTCCACCATAGTATCATCCTGTAACTTGGTAGTCTTAGGATGTCTTCCTCTACCCTTCTTCTCCTTACTCTCCAAGTCTTTCTTTGAGATGGTGTTTTTGACAGTTGTAAGGTAGATGTTGAGGTATTCAGAAATCTTGTAATATCTTATCCGAGACTCATGTAATCCAAGGATTCTCCTCCTGGTAAACTCAAAGAGGTAATGGGCTGGAATATGCTTTTTTGGATAACTGTGAAGAATAGGAGGCATAGTATTTAAAGAAAAAAGAATCAGATAATGTGATTAGATTTTGATTGAGTTAATGCAATTTCTTTTGATGGGATTGAAAATGAGGAAGCGGGTGATGGATGATAGTTGCCATATATCTTGAATGGTTGGTTATTTTTATTAATGAATAATATTGTATCTACTCGGACATGACTGTTCACCACTAACATGTCCACAATCAGAAGAGTTTTTACTCCTACAGTTGTATTGTAGATGTAGCTGCTAAAACACTTCTGTCCGATAGATATTAGCAAACCACAGAGTAGTTTAGTTCACTATGGGGGATCTTTGATCTAACTCATAGAGGTTAGCTAGACATCCAAGCAAGTTGAGTCCTCACAAATGCAGAGTAGTGATAGGGAGCAACTAGCAGTATATGAAATTTACTTAAGTATATGTGTGTTCTCCTCTACTCTAGAAATCAACTACGTTTCGAGATCAGGACTTAATTAAGTAAAGCTGTGGCTTAACAATATTAAGTTTTACTGTTTTGTTTCTTCAAACTCTACTGTTGAGAATTTGAAATTTTATTCTATTTGTTCCCAGAAGAATTCATCTCAGTACGGTTGCAACCTTGGAATCCATCTTCTCAGAGGGAGCCCCTGTTATACTTATTGATAGTATCTTTTCCAAGACCAATATTAGCCATTTAGGTAATATCCCTTAGTACTAAATGAGGTTCAGCATCAATAATATCAAGTATAATCTTGTTTTTGGCATCAGTTATCTTTATTGATCTGCCAGCTCTAGGAACATCATAGATGTTAGCATCATAGTTTTCAGCCTTTTTGATTACTGTAGAAATAGTTGACTTGGAAAGCTTCAGAAGCTTGAAAATTTTATTATACCCCATATCTGTACGTTTATACAGGGTATAAATTTCTCAACTTCTGTATTCTCTAACACGGTGGGAGTGTAGTGGGGCCATAGTAGTAAGGACTTGTTTTAGTGATCGTGGATTTGACGGTTGCCATAAAGGAGTTCAGAAACTTATTAGACACAAGTGTATTGTGCGTTGACAAAATTAACTATGATTCAACAATCGGTAGTAATCCACCCCTCTTCATCACTCCGCACTCTCAACAGTACCTAAAAGAATTGCTCTAAGTTAACTAAGAAGAAACTATTCTGCTCAATTCTTTTTTTCAATAAACTATGCCTCCTATTCTTTGCAGTCATGCCAAAAAACCTATTCCCTCTACACATCTCTCTGAGTTTACCAGGGGGAGGATTCTTGGGTTATACAAGCCTCAGATGAGATATCAGCCAATTTCCCACTATCTTAATATCCTCTACACTACTGTCAGAGACACAATTGCAAAGGAACATCAAGAGGGCAAGGAGAATAAGTGTAGAGGAAGACATCCTAAAACTACTAAGTTATAGGATGATGCTATGGTGGAGGAAGCTCTTAAAAATCACTATACTACCTATTCTGACATTGCTGAGCAAGTTGCTCCCAATGTTTCTAGTAGGACAGTAAGGAGAACACTTGAAAAAAAAGCATCTTAGAAAGTGGATGACATAAGAGAGAGTTCATTTGAATGAGGATTTAGCTCAAGAGAGATTGGAATGGGTATTAGCTCATAGGCATTAGACAAAGGAAATGTGGAGAAGAAAGGCAATATGGGAGGATGAGGTAGCTGTGGAAAGGAGAGAAGGAAAGAGGAGAGAATGTGTTTTCAGATACCCATATGAGAAATCAAATCAGGATTGTGTTGAACCTAAGGCTAGGAGAGGGGAGAGAGGGATTAGTCAGATAATGACTGGTTGTTTTTATAGTCAAACTCATGGTCTTTTTTTACCTGTTTTTCCTGATCCTTCTTCTGCTATGGATAGAGTTACTGGAAAGTCAATTACTGATGTTTATGATCATTATGACTTTCTAGGGATATGGGAGAATATCAGAGAAAAGGCTAGAGAAGAAGAGGTATTTTTTATCATTGACAATGCTAAGACTCACTTGCCTTTTAGGAGATAGCTCAGAGGGCAGGGAATTACACTGATGGAAATTCCTGCCTATTCACCAGATCTCAATCCAATTGAAAATATTTGGTCTCTAGTGAAAGGTAAGCTTCACAAGCACTACACTGAACTATATCTTATGAAGGGTGATGTCAATGTGGTCAAGAAGGCAATAGTAAAGGCCATCACTCATTGTTGGGAACTTCTTGACCCAAAGGTTTTTGATACTTTAGCTGGATCAATGGTGGATAGAACAGAGGCAATTATTAAGGCTGATGGATGGTATACCAAATATTAATTTCTACTATATATTTACATCTTTTAATTTTTTTTTTTTTTTGGTTTTCATGATAGTGGATTGGTGGGTGAGTGTAGTTGTCATCGCCGAAGATTTTCCTCTGTTGAATCGCGGTTAATTTTGTCCACGCACAATACTTTCTGGTGGGATTTTAGAAAGTGGGACAATACTTTTGAGAGCTGATTGTATCATACCTACTATTTTTCTTCTACCTCCTCCCCCCCTCCGTTCCCAACCCCTTGCTCCTTCCTTGCACTTCTATTTCTCTCGGCTCCTCCCCCCTCCCTCCATCTGTCTTCTCCTGATGGCGGAAATCGAAGAACTCTGGAGGTATCCTTATCCTTATCCTTCAAATTCCTATTCCTGCAACCTAACTGTCAGCGCACAGGTCTGCTCTCCGATGGGAAAAAGAATTGGCCTCCATCCTTAATGATCATCCGAATGCACGCAGTGTGGACAATGCTATCTTCCAGTACGTCATCTTTAGAATGGTGCGCTTGATTTTTTTTTTCCCTTCTTCTTCACTCTCACTTACCGCCCTATTTTCAGACTGCGTGAGGCCTACGTCAACATCATCTTTGTCGATTGCCGGCTTGCACTGGAACGGGATGTTGAAGGTCGGATTTGGGGCAAGCATCACAAAACTATCGAACGCTATAGAGTAATTCTTAGCCAGGTATAGCCATATCCCCAGTCTACCTCCCTCCATCACGCTACCTACAAACACAATGCCCAGTTTCAGGAAATTCATGGAAGAAAACGTCCCGTCGAACTCCGCAAGCTGCAGAACTCCTTCATCAACTTTATCAAGCAGGCCACCCGTTTCTACCGCTCCTTGATTCAGCGGCTGATCTCCCACTTTGGACTTGCTGAGCTCGAGTGGGTAATTCGCAAATTCAATCTCTCCCGTCTGTTAGAGTTCTCCCTTACTCCATCTGTTAAACTTTCAAGCTCACCAAGTCCCATCAGTCGATTTTCCTGCTACCGGCCCCCCAAGTTATGAGGCTGACATCAAACGGCTGGTTATCTCTTCCTGTCACCGAACCCTCGTCTTCCTGGGGGATCTCTCACGCTATAGAGAAGCTTCACAGAGCCCCAAGAACTGGGGCCCTGCCACCGGTTATTACACTCTTGCAAAGAAGCTTGTTCCTACGCTAGGGTCCCCGCACAATCAACTTGCTGTGATCGCGCTAAATGAGGGCTCCAATCTCTCAGCCACCTATCACCTCTACCGAGCTCTCTCCGTTGCAGAACCATTCCCGGAAGCTGGAGATAACCTCGCCGTTGGTTTCCGCAAAGTTCTCAAAGCGCATAAAGCCGGCAATTTGACAGCGAGTCTTGCCCGAAAAGAAGAACAGGTTATCCATGAACTCGTGGCTCTATTCGTAAGACTCCACGCGAAATGTTTTGCTGGTAAAGAGTTAGTATCCAATTCTCTAGGTCCCCTTCGATATCTTTTATTTTGTGCATTGAGATCGTTGCTGAATAGCGCTAGATTCTCAGATTACGAGGCCATGGAGAGTGAAATGTTGATGCAGTTGGCGCTCGATCTGAAAGAGCGGACCATGTCAAATGGGATGTTGACCAAATTCGTTCTAATAAATATCGCGGCGCAGTTCTACGCCGCCAATAGAAGTCCCAAAGGTGACCTACCCCTCAAATACAACGCCATGTTCCTTCCTACACAGCATTTACTAAATATCTTCGCGCTCAAGTCAACTTCTCTCGTTCGCATTCCTACTTCCTTCGTCTAAATGTCGCGACTTTTACCACTCTCCACCAAGTCTTCCAACCAGAGCTCGAGCGCCTATTTGACGACAAAACCGAGAACGAGATAGAACCGATCTCAGCGGTGGGCAGGCGTATGCTGCCGGCACTGAGGTTGTACAGTACCTGGTTGCGAATAAATCACCCAACCTTAACTGGGCAACTGGCGGACACTTCCCTCTCCGTGTTAATCCGGCAACTCTGGCAGACGTACGCCAATACACTTTCTCTCCTCGGCGCCACTTTCCCCATTGACCGCCTTCCAAGGCTCTCCTACCTCCTTGAAGAAGACGACGATACGATCGGCTACTTGCCTTTCAGTCAAGCAAACGGCTCAACAGCCTACAACTGGGGCGATGAGAGCAAAGAGAAAGCGCACCCGAATGACGAGATGCTAGCACGCATACTCTCGTTACTGGAGGACGGTAGATTACTCTGCCTTGAAGAAGTTAGCGCCCTCACCCCCCTCCCTGCAACCAACTAATGCAAAGGTAGAACATCCCGATAACCATCTCCAACACCACAATTCTCTACCAAGAACACGGCATCCCAAGCAGCACGCCATCAACAGACATGAGCTCATTATACCACTCGCAAGCCCACCCCTCAACCCCAACCTCACCCTACGACCGCATCGACACCTCAGTGCCCGCGCACCTGAGCAACGAATTTTCGCAGGGCATGGGCATACGCAGGCCTAGCGAGAGCGTACTCGCTCAAGGGGGCGATAGCATCGTTGGGTCGGTCGCGGGCTCCGAGACTACGATGAACAAAATGGTGGACTTGCTTGTTGGCCCTAGGGAGGTGGTCCGATGCGAAGAGGAGGAGGAGATTCTGTTTGAAGGAAAGAGAAGAGGAAGGAAGAAGGGGGAAATGTACAGCAGGAATCAGGACACGGAGGCCACCGGGGGCGTGGGGGGCGAAGGGCCCCTAGCCAACCTTGCGGGACCGGCCTCATCGGCGGAGGCCTATACGGCGAGGGATCTAGCAGCCCTGGTGCAGAACTTTACAACGACGCATCATTCTGGGGGGAGTACTTGAGGGTTTCCCTGTTTTTCTCTCACATTGATATTGATTATTTGAATTCTCAAAATGGATATTATTATGGTAGATGGTCGTTTTCCGAGTGCGATGGTATGATTCTACAGTACTGGAGAGTTGGGGCTAGCTTAAGGATTAGCGCAGTCCGTCGTTAAAATAGCCCTGTACGGTTTTTTTATACAGTTAATTGATTATCTGCTATTTTATCGGGGCTAGGAAAAAACCTTTGGGCTTTTCTTTCTTTGGTTCCTGGTGGAGAACTAATTTGTGGAGTTATGATTTTCTCCAGTAGCTATGGACGGTTTCAAGTGAGACCCAACTGCTTCCGATGCTGCACAGCAAGCGATATTGTACCCACCCACAGGATATCATTGATTGGGTAAATTCTCTAAACGGCTGGCACTTTGAACTAGACTCGATCCACAGAATATCACTTGCTCTTATTCACGCGGAAGTCATCCGCTTTTCTGAGACCATCCTTGGTATGATATTAAGGGCGCGTCCGGTTGCCACATCAAAATTTCCTTTTGACCCTGATTAGAGGTTTGCAGCAAAACTTTATTTAGCTTTGGAGTGGGATGTCCGGCTGGACACCAAAACTCAATAAAGATAAAGATGTAATAATAATGTCAAAACAAAGGTTTCTGAAATAACTGATCTGACCAATATTTTCCAAACCTACAACATTGTAGTCCTAATTTAACCAAACCATTGGCTCAACACAAAACCAGAGGCCATCTCAGTACTATAATACCCCGAACTTCCAACGTCTCCCACAAATCTATCAATGAATCTTCTCTCAGAAGCCCGTTTATGTCAGATTGGATCCATTTGTTGGAACCTATGGTTGTCTTCACTTCCGTAAGAAGGCATGTCATCGTATACCATTGAAACTACGATCCTTGGCACCTTAGGTGACCAGACATACCACTATAATGTTAAACTAGACTGCAGAATTTGGCCCAAGCTACTAATCTGCCGTTATCAAGGTTTTTGGAGGACGATAGTGAAGTGTTGGCGGGTGATGGCGTCGGGATTGGCGAGTCTGGTCAAGTGCTGGAGGCAGCCTACCGTAGGATATGTGATTGGTACTTGTTTTTGTTTTGTTTGGAGCAGATTTACAGGATTTTTTATTGATGGTTGTGTTCAGCTACGGTAAATTGAAGCCAGGATTGGTATATAAGTTGGATAAATTTGATAAATTTTATAGAGTTATCAAGGTTTGAAGTATGCATGGTGACCAGACGCGCCCTAAAAAAGAAACCATTGTGTTGAAACAAACACAGCAACACCTGCCATGCCAAGCCCTAGTTAAATGTGTTGAAACTTATTTATATCTAGTAAGCTGATTAAGCACCGTAAACTTTCTTCTCAGCAGGATATCTGTTTGACCCTTAGTCAGTATTACACCCATTGCTACAGTAAGCAAGAAAGTGGGGGAAACTCACGCCGGGCCAGGCTCCCTGATCCCCCAGCTTGCCAACCACTGACCCATGTCAACTGCCGTCTTCAAGTCCTTACCCTGGACGAGCCCCGCAAGGAAACCACCAGCAAAAGCGTCGCTTCGAGCTGTTAGCAAGTCGAAATCAGTTAGTTGGCAATTGTAAGACATACCCCGCTCCATTGGTATCTACGATGTCCATGGACTCAACAGGCCTAACTGGGTAGACCTCGATAGTGAGATTGGGGCCACCAGTGACCACAATGGTGGGATCAGTTCCCTGAGTGATGACAACGACGCGAGGACGAGAAGTGTTTTTCTTTGGAAGATTGGCGATACCCTTGGCGATCTCGATGATGTCTTTGGTCTAGTTCTTATCTATTAGAGAATCGATATCAAGCGAAGAGGGTACAGTGGATCAAACCCCAAGTCCGTGGGATTCAGAGTAAGCCAACGCCTCGGACTCGTTTCCAATCAAGTAATCCCAGTAGGGTGCAACGGAGTCGAGCTGTTCCTTGAAGAACTGGGGCAAGAAAGGGGCCGAGAGGTTCATGGCAAAAA